CCGCAATAGCACCCTTCTTCTTATGTGTTCTTCGTCGTCTTCTTATCAGCATCCTCCTCCTCCTCCTCCTCATCATCATCATCATCAGCAGCAGCATCAGACTCATAAGCATCAGCATCATCATCAGCAGCGTCAGCATCATCATCAGCATCAGCATCATCATCCTCATCATCATTACCATCAGCAACATCGCCATCACCATCCGCAGCATCGTCAGCAGCAGCATCATCAACATCGACATCACCAGCATCATAATAATCATCAGCAACAGCATTATCAGCATCCACATCACCTGCAACAAAATCATCATCATCGTCATCGCCATCACCCATATCGTCCTGATCAGCATCAATATCAGCATTAGCATCGTCATCATAATCATGATCATGATCAGCATCATCACCATCAACATAGCATCATCATCATAATCAGCATCATCGCCATCCTTAGCATCAGTATCATCGTCATCATCAGTATCAGAAGCATCCGAAACGTTATCATGATCCGAACCAGCGCCATCATCATTATCATCATGATCATCATCAGCATCGTCATCATCATCAGCATCATCAACAGCAGCAGCACCATCCTCGTCTCCCTCCTTCTTCTCCTCCTCTTCCTGCTCCTCCTTCTCCTCCTGCTCCCTCCTGCTCCTCCTCCTGCTCCTCCTCCGCCTCGGCCCCCGCCTCTGCCTCTTCCTCCTCTTCATCATCATCTTCTTCCTCCCTCCTCCTCCCTCCTCCTCCTCCCTCCTCCTCCTCCTCCTCCTCTACCTCCTCTTCATCATCTTCTTCCCCCCTCCTCCTCCTCCTCCTCCTCCTCCTCCTCCTCCTCCTCCGCTTCATCATCTTCTTCCTCCTCCTCCTCCTCCTCTCCTCCTCCTCCTCCTCCTCCTACTCTCCCTCCTCCTCTTCCTCCTCCACCTCCTCCTCCGCCACCCCCCCTGCCCCTTTCCCGGCCTCTCCCCCTCCTCCTCCTCATCGTCATCATATTCCTCCTCCTCCTCCTCCACCTCCTCCTTTTATTCTTCGTCTTCTTTTCATCGGTCTTGTGAGTATTAGTTGTATTAGTATGTTTCTCTTTATTATGATTAGGCTTTGCACTCTAAATATTCATCATGTTATTCGTATTAGATATAGTTTTGGTTGCTCTCCTTATGATGTTTTATTGTTAGTGTTCGTATTATAGAAGCACCAGCAGTATTGTTATTAATCTTCTTCTTTGTCCTCCTCGTCCTCCTCGTCCTCCTCCTCCTCCTCCTCCTCCTCTTCCTCCTCCTTCTCCTCCTCCTCCTCTGCCTCCTCCTCCCCCTCCCCCTCTCTCCCCTTCCCCCTCCTCCTTCTCCTCCTCATCCTCCTGCTCCTCCTCCTCCTCCTCCTCCCCCTCCTCCTCCACCACCTCCTCCTCCTCTTCCTCCTCCTGATCTTCCTCCTCCTCCTCGTCCGCCCTCCTCGTCCGCCCTCCTCGTCCGCCTTCCTCCTCCTTCTCTTCCTCTTCCTGCTCCCCCCCTCTTCCTCCTCCTTCTCCTCCTTCTCCTCCGCCTTCCTCTTCCTCCATTCCGTAGAAAGAACTTCTCCCTATGGCACCCCGAGGCCGATTTTTAGGGCTGTCCGGGCGTTTTGCGGAGACTTACTCACCATTAACAATTCTGATGCTCAAGCATGAACAGCAATCTCACAGATCCAGGGCGAGTGGTTTTCAAAATGTGGCTGTCGCCTTAGCGCGGCGCACATTCGTTTCGAACACTTGCAAGAGCTTCACACATTGAGGACGGGCCGTTTTCAACATGTGGCTCTCGCCTTGGCGCGGCGCACATTCGTTTCAAACATTTGCAAGAGTTTGACGGATTGAGGGCGGGTCGTTGTCAAACGGTGGCTCTCGCTTTAGCGCGGCGCACATTCGTTATAAACATTTGCAACATTTTCACGGATCGAGGGCGGTTCCTTTCAACATCTGGCTCTCGTCTTAGTGCGGCGCGCATTCGTTTACAACAGTTGCAAGAATTTCACGGGTTCCCATCATCAACGTACCAGAAAAGGTATTCTGAAAGGGTTCAAGATTATCCGGGTGCAACAGTTATGTTGCTTCGCTGCGTGGAAGTCTCTAGAATGCTGTTCTGGAACGATTCAGGATCGTCAAGACGCAACAGTCAGGTTCATCGGTGGCGCTGGAATCCCGCGAGCAATGTTTCGTCATGCTTCAGGATCTTCAAACTGTTGTCTTCAAACGAGGCAGTTCCCTCAATGGAAATGACCCGTTGTAGGGGCCTATGAAGAGGGAGCTTGGAGGGAGGGTTTACTCCAACATCGTTGATGACTCTTGGGTTTGCACTGGTCCTCCTCCTCCTCCTCCTCCTCTCCCCCTCCCTCCCTCCCTCCCTCCCTCCTCCCCCTCCGCCTCCGCCTCCTCCTCGTCCTCCTGTCCCTCCCTCCCACGAGGCCCCCTGGAGGCTCCCAAGCGGCCCTCAAGGCGGCCTCAACAGCCGCCTTGGAGACGAGGAGGGGCCGGCCGAGAGGCGGGAGGCCCCCACGCGGGCGTATGGTACAGAGGAGCTCGTCGCGCTCTCCGGGCCCCGGATGCCTGTCGCCTGCGCTGCGCTGTCGTGGGAGCGGCGACGGGCGGTCGAAGGCCGATGGGAGCGCGTGTCGAGGAAGGCCGGAGGAGGAGAGGGGGGGGAAGAGAAGGAGAGACCTCGAGGACCCGACGAGAAGGAGAAGCCTCGAGGACCTCGACGAGGAGAGGGGGGGGAAGAGAAGGAGAAGTCAATCGCAGGCGCAACGACCACGGCGGTTCACGCTCCGCGGGTCCTGGGCACCCTGTCTTCTGGGCGGCGTTCTTGTAGAATGGACGAAGGCGATCGAATATGGAAGAGGCGGGAAAGGAGGGAGTGGTAGTAAGCGTTTTTTTTATTCGGCTATTCGACATTGGGCGGCAAGGGGGGGCGGAGGGGGGGGTCTGGCTCCAGACCTCTGCTTAGTGCGGTTGTTTGCGACAGTGCGTCCCATGAGAGGAGGCTCCGCCTGCTCGAAACAGGCTCCAAAAACTTCCAAGATCTATTCAATGGGGGGGAGGGGGGTGCGAGGGCCCGCGCCGATCGGCAAAACAATGAATACAACTCACATAACGAAACGGGTCGGAGTTTTTTGTTTGCTGTGGATCGCTGACCGTCAAGCTTCCGAAGAGATTGCCAAGCAGGTGAAAATTGTTAATAATAAGTCGATGAACGTATCGACGGCGCTCCAAGATACTTTTTTTGAGGGGGTTGCCTTGCCTGAACCTCCCCAACGCCTCATAATTATATGCCGTGAGGGCCGCCGGGCCATTCGAGGCGACTCGGCACTCCATGCGCAAATCGCGAGGCTTAGATTCCGCCCAGCATCCGCACAAGCCACAGAAGGTGAAGCGGCCTTACTCCAGGCAGCGTGGCTGTCATGCACCCTGTGCCCGTGGACGTGAAAGAGGAAGTGGAGAAGAAGAGGAAAAGGAGGAGGAGGAGGAGGATCATCAGAGCAAGACAATAATCGACTGCCGATGATCAACAATGATCTCGGCATCCACGGGCCCCAAGGAGTCGGCAATGTGGCGTAAGCCAGTAAGCTGGTGTTTCAACGAGTTGGACGGTTCCACATGTTCGAACATCCTTTAGCTCCAGGCGTCCCGAGAGGCCTTCAAGGTGGCCCCTTGACAGCTCAAGAGGGCCCCCAAACGGCCCAAGAATTCTCCGAGACGACCTCGAGGCAGCCCAAGAGGGCCCGTCGACGGCCTGGGACAGCCTCAAGAAAGAGCCAAGCTGGCCCAAAAGAGCCCCTGGAGGGACGCACGATGGCCTCGAAGGGCGCTTCGATGGCTCAACACGGCACCAAGGCGGCCCCACGACGGGCCCCACGAGAACCTCTTGAAGGCCGAGATGCCCCATGGCCCAAGGGGGCTCCAAGACGGCCCAAGAGGGCCCCCAGACGGCCCAAGAGAGCCCGAGAGGGCCCTGAGGGGCCCCGAAGACTGCCTCACAGGAGCCCCAAGCAGCACCAAGACGGCACCAAATGATCTCCATGCGAACTCCTTAAGAATGGAGGGCAAAAAGCGTCACGTGTGATGACCGTCCTCTTACTCAGCCTCCTGTGCGCCCCCCAAAACTGTCGTCTCCGGGGGTCATTGGCTGGCACGGTGGCGAGACTTGCCGCAAGCATCTGGTTCATCGAACAATCAAGTATTGTGTACGCACACGTACAGAGTAAAAAAAGCGACGGGATCTTCCCTCCTAAAGTTCGCTCCCTGACTTGTCCTGGAGCGCTGCCTGACCAGCATCTTGAGGCGGATGAGACCGTGGCGACGAGAAGAAAGGCAGGCGAGTCCTCCCTGCTCCCCTTGATGCTCCGAGTTCCCCCTTTCCCTTGTAGTTGCTCCTCCTCGTCCTGCAATAGCGCAGAGGATGACCACCGAAACAAGCGCCCGACAATCTGCAAAACGTGTCCCTGTCCTCCCCGCTCCTCCCCACCCTCGAGGAGGATGAGAAGGAGGGGGAGGAGGAAGAGAAGGAGCAGGAGGAGGAGGAGGAGTAGACGGGGCAGGGAGAAGAGACGTTGGACGTTGCAAACAATGCAACGTTGGCAAGCTGCCGAACTCGCAAGGATCCGGGCTCCGCGAAAGAAAAACATATATATATATATATATGTACATATTACACATGTCGATTTGCACTCAGCTGTGTGGGCCCTTGCCAAAACATACTGTCCACTTTTGCTGAATGTCTCGCGCTCGCGAATCTGCCCCAGATAATGTCCACTATACTGTGCACGGTGGCGGTTGCGAATATAGTTTCATGATCGTGTTCCTGCCCCCGATGTGATGACTACGACGAACCCAGAAACATATAGGTCCCCTGACTTCCTGTAGGGTCTGTCAATCTCGAGGGGGAACCCAGGTGATGGCGACGGTACGCACGCCTCCCAAATACCAAACACGTCCCCAAAAAATCTCGACGACGACGACGACGAAGGAACCTCGACGCCAGGGATCGGGTCGCCGGGCTCCGGGTACTGCTGCGGCTCCCTGGGGTTGCGCGGGGGCGGCATGTAGTGCCTGTCCTGGCAGGGAGGCCAGCCGATCGCGCGGGCGCCGCAGGGGGGAGAGGAGAGGCGAGGCTCCCCCTCCTGGCCTCCTGGCGACGATCAACAAAACAGGTACCCCTAACCCTTTGGGAGGGCACCCAAGTCAGGAGGGCCAGCAATGGCGAAAGGACACCACACACACACCCATACCCATAGGGGGGCCGTTGGGAGGAGGACTGGCTGTGGGTACGGGTGCGGGTTGTCGGACCCTGTGGAACGCTCCGGTTCGAGCGGGGGCCCCCATCCGACAACACGCACCCATAGCCTTTTCCGACCCCCCCTAAGGGTATGGGTGTGTTGGTTCCTAAAAAACATTAAAGATAAAAGGTTTTTTTTGCAGAAATATCAGACCATACCGCCCATAATGACGATCCCTGACGCGAAGACGGGGACCTGAGTGAGGCCACGTCTTCACGGTGTTATCAAAGGTCGGTTCTGTTGTTCTCGATGAGGGCAGGGGCGGTGTCGGGAGGCCCACACGAGGCCCACATGGCTCCAGGGGCTCCAAAATTGATCGGAGAGCTGGGGGCACGTTGGGCCAAGGGCACTCTTCAGAACCTCCGATGTTTCGTCCCGGATCCATATTTGATGGCCCACGGGCCCGATATAACCAGCCCTGGGGGTCGAAATCCAATAGAAACCAGCTGAGGGAACTAACATCATTTCCTCGGATCTCTGGGGCGGGGGGGCGGCGTCGGGGGGGGAGCCGAGTGGGGCGCGATCGTCGCCCTGGCGGCGTTGGGGGGCATGCGCGGCGGGAGCGACACAAAGACCAAGTCCGCGCAGGGGTCTGCTCCTGCATCTGCAGGCCTGTCTCCGTTATGTTGTTTACCGGGAGAAGCCGCCGAAGCAGGAAAACCGCCTGGGCAGGGGTGCATCAGAATCTCATGACAACTCTGAACTGCTCCCTCGGGCGCATTTTGTGAGCTTTTGAAGGGCAGCGATAGGGGGACTACAAGCCGCGCCGCAATTAACTTGACACCGCGCTGGGCGACCAGGCCCTTCAAAACTGGAGGGGCACGTATGACGACCCTCCTCCCCACCAAAGTTGAGAAGCGCACTGGGCTGGCGGGGATGCGCGAAACGTCCAGAATTTCTCTACGTCTGAATCCCAGGAATGGTGTTCTGACACGATGCAGGATCGCCAAATCGCAACAGTGACTGTGGTTCGTGGCGCTGGCATCCCAGGACGGTCGTCTTGCAACGGGAGGGTTTTCCCCCAGTGAAGACGGCCCTTTGTAGGGGCCTGCGGAAAAAACCTCGAAGGGAAGGTGAAATACAATATCGTTGAAACGTCCAGGGTATGCGCTGGTCCTCCGCTTCCTCCGCCTCCTCCTCCTCCTCCTCTTCCTTTTCCTCCTCCTCCTCTTTTTCTTCCTCCTCCTCTTTTTTCTCCTCCTCCTCCTCCTCCTCCTCCTCCTCCCCCATCCTCCTCCTCCTGCCCTTGCCGCCCAAGTCGAGAGGCGCACCTTCCGCCCCCCCCCCCCCCCCCATCCGAAGTTGAGGGCGCGTGGGCCGCCAGCGTTTGCCCCAGCTCAGGCTCTGCCTCAACTCCGGAGAAGAGGGGGGCAAGCCCACCTTCATGCCTCCCTACCAGACAGCCGAATGGCCAGCAGGCGCTTCCGTGCCAGACAGCTGGCGCGCAATTCCCCGCCGCACAGTCGCAGACAATTTTTTGCCAGGCAGTCATTGGACAGCCAGCGGAGACGGTAGAAATCAGGAAGGCGTTCCCTCGCCAGTAAGCCGGCGCGCAATTCCCTACCAGACAGCCGCGGGCATTTTCTCACCAGACAACTTTATCAGACAACCGGCGAGAATTTCTTTACCACCAGACAACGTCCGCGATGCTTACGAGAAGAGTCAGAGAAGGAGGAGGAGTCGGGAAAAAGGAGGAGGACAAATGGGGGGAGGAGGAATAGGGGGAGGCGGAGGAAGGAGGAGGATGACGACGAGGAGGAGGCAGGAGGGAGGAGGAAGGAAGAAGAGGAGGAGCGGGAGGATGAGTAGGATGACAAGGGTGATGTTGGTGGTGATGATGATGCTGATGATGATGATGATGCTGAAGTTGGTGATAACGCTGGCGGCGACGCTGCTGACGATGAAAATCATGAGTATGGCGATGCCGTTGGCGATCAAGTTTGCGACGGTAACGCTGGTGATGATGATGGCAGGTCTGATGACGCCGATGACGGCGCGGGCACTGATGCTGCTGCTGATGATGATCATGATCATCATGATACCGATGGTGTTCTGACAAGGAGGAGGAACAAGAGGAGGAGGGGAAGGACGACGACGACGATAAATATGACGAGGAGGACGAGGAGGGAGGAGGAATAGTCAGGATGAGGAGAGGAGGTGGATGGAGAAGGATAAGAGGATACAGGGGATGAGGATACAATCTGCCTTGACGTGACTACGAGTCGAAGGAGGGATGGAGGCGCCCATGATGTATTGCTGGGTGGATTGTACCTGCATGGAGGGGGATGGATGGAAGGAAGGATGGAGGCATGGAGGGAGGCTGGCGGAGGAGCCTGGATGGAGGGGGTCTGGATGGAGGGAGGGGAGGGTGAGAGAACAGGGATGCTCGATGGAGGGAGGATGGAGAAAGGCTGATTGGCAGGCTGGATGGAATGAGGTAATTAGGCAGGAGGAAGTCTGGATGGATGCACGTTGGATGGAGGGAGGGGTGGGGGTAACAAGAGGGAGGCTTGATGGAGGATGGATGGATGAATGCACTCTGGTTGGAGTGAGGCCGGATGGAAGAAGGGTGGCGGATAGGAGGACGGATAAAAAGGGTGGATGGCTGGACGGGTGGAGGGCGGCTGGAGGGACACTGCATGGGGGGACGCTGGATGGTTGGATGGAGGGTGGATGTATGAAGGCTGGACGAGGATGAAAGGAGGCTGCACGGCAGTAGGGTGGATGGATGGAGGCTGGAGGAGGAGGAGGAGGAGGAGGAGGATAAGCAGGAGGAAAGCGGAGGGGAATTGGACGGAGGTTGAGGGGTAAGACGTATGTGGTGACCGGTGCGGAGTAACCCCTCGAGTCGGGCCTACTACTTTGCCACGTTAATTGTGACGCGATTTGTAGCATAGGAGGGGGGGATATCGACCTGGAGTCGGCGAGACGTCGCCGATGGATCAGCGAGATGGCCCCGATGGCGCATCCGCACCTTCCTGGGCGGCGTGGGGCTATCAGAACCCTATCGGCGATCCATGGGCGATTGCTGGGAGCCGATGCATCCCCTCCTACTCGGGTCGGGCGAAAGGGGGGGATAGCAAAGGGGGGATTTGAGAATCAGCTCACGTAGCTGATTCTCCCGGCGCCTCCCGGCGCCGGAGGCGGCCATGTATCGAGGAATGGGCCCCTCGGTGAGGCCGAAACCAGCTGCATGCAGCAAATTTCGTAACCCCCCCTTTCCCAATCCCCCCCTTTCGTCCGGCCCGACCTACGCCCACATCCCCCCTGCCGTCGCCCCTGAGCTTTGGAAGTGCCTGGGCACCTGGCCGCAGTCCGGCCAAACTCGATCCCCGGGGAGGGCGGAGCCCGGGAGCGGGGCCCCGGGCGTAAGCGCCGCGGCCCTCGCTTGGAGCTGCGCCCTCCACCGAGCGTTAGGTCGGGCATGTCCCCCTACAGGCGGATTTTGAACGAGGCTGAAAAAATAGTATAAAAAACAAGAACACGCTGGCCCCCTTGTGGGGCCACCAGGCTGTAGGCCGAAGCTTCGCAGTTTTCTGTGCCAGTTGCAGCTTCCAGTTTCCACTGTTACAGTTCTGCTTCTTGCTGCTTACTGCTCCTTGTTGACTTCTTGCTGCTTACTGTTCCTCGTTGATGGACCGCGCGAGGGGGGGAGGCGGCGGCACCCCTCACGCAGATCGGCAAGGTCAAAATCCAAAAACATTCGGGATTTGCCACATTTCTAAAATCCAGCGGTTCCCCTCACGCAGATCCGTAAGGTCAGGGTCCAAAAACACAATGGATTCGCCACATTTCTGAAATTCGGTGGTACCCGTGACGCAGATCCGTAGGGTCAGGGTCGAAAAACAAACAGGTCCCCACACTGCTTCACGGCGGCGCCCAGACCTCATGATTTAGCTTTTGCATCTCCTATTCTCCGAGACAGGGGGCCGGCGGCGTGGGGCGAAGCCCTTACGGATACTCCCAAACAGTCAAAAATAGTCAAAACTTCGTCCCCCTGTGAAGGGACAGGCCCGACCCCGAGTATAGCGCCGCGGCCCTCGCCTGGAGCTGCGCCCTCCACCGAACGCTCCAGATTAGGCAAAGCGCTGCCGGCGCGCGGGCGCCGTGGAGCAGCAGGCGCGCCCGCCCGTGCGCCACGTCATCGGGTGCTGCTAGACGTGCCCCTGGCCCAAGGTGCCCCCAGGACTTCCCAGGAGGCCCCCACGGCCTCCAGTCAGGTCGGGCCCGTCCCCCTACAGGCGGATTGTGGACGACAGGTTTAAAACATTCAAATAGTTACTTCCAAATAATCAGAAATACTCCAGAAATGGTCCCCTGACTATTTTGCACTATGTTTGAATCTTCCTCCTGTAGAGGGACAGGCCCGACTTAACTCCAGAGCACCCGTCACGACGAGGCCCCGAGGGCCCCAGGAGCTCCAGAATGCAGCGGAAGGCCCAGGTGCGAGCCCGACCCCACCACCCCACGATTCCTAGGGGGAGAGGTGGGGTTCGCCTCGCTCGGGGCCTCCCGAGCGACCCCTTTGAAGCCGTGGGGTGGTGGGGTCGGGCTCGCATGTGGCCACCGACCACGCGCACGCCGAGAAGCCGCTCTGCAAGAACGGTTTTTTGAAGGCAGATCTGCCTTCAAGAAACTATTTTTTGAAGGCAGATTCGCCTTCAAGAAACCGTTCTTACAGAGTAGCCCGCACCGCGGCAGACCGCGCGCCAGCGGGGGTCGTCTCGGCCCTCGGCGGGGCGTCGGGGGTGCCGTCGGGAGCCCACGGGGCGTCGGCTCTGGGCATGGAAGGCCCCGGGGCCCGAGGGTCCAAGGGGGGCGGGCGGGCCAAGGCAGCGAACATCATAATAAGCATCATCACCATCATCATCACCATCATCATCATCATCATCATCATCATCATCATCATCATCATCATCATCACCATCATCATCATCAGCATCAGCATCAGCATCAGCATCAGCATCATCATCATCATCATCATCATCATCATCATCATCAACCGTATCACCCTCATCATCATCAACAACATGATCATCCTCATCAGCAGCATCATCATCTGCATCATCATTAGGATCATCCTATGTTCACCATCATCATCATCATCGCCAGCATTAGAATCATGGCAAGGCAAAGCAGCACAGCGACAGGCGAGCGCTGCCAGACCATGCCACACTCAGTGCCGCTCGGGGGAAGCGTGCCCCGAATGGGGACGGCGCCGGGGTCTGTCCCAACCCGCGGCCCCAGAGGTCTTGACCGCTCCCCCGGGGGTGGTTGTCGGCCAGACGACTGGGTGGTAGTCTTAGGTCGGGCGCGTCCCCCTACAGAGGCAGATTCTGGACGACGAATTACAACAATAGTCGAACAATGATAGCAAGATGCTCAAACATAGTCAAAAACCTCGTCCCCAGACTATGTTTTGTATAGCAATTGTTGAATCTTCTCGGCGGTGGACAAACCTTCCTTTAGTAGACCTCCCCTTAATGAAAACGGCCTGGGACCGAAACCGATCGACCTGGACCCGCAAAAATGACGGCCGCGACGCCCTCTCGCGAACCAGAAACGGCCAATTCCTTAATCGACGTGTCAGGGTAGGAGGTCTGTCCACCCCCGATCTTCCCCCTGTACAGCTGTGAGGGACACGCCCGACTTCATAGTGGTCCTGGGGCCCGATGCCGGGACCAAAAGAAGCCGAGAGATCGAAATAAAGCTGCCGGGCTAGCACCAGATCTTACCGCCGGAGATCCGGGCCGGAGCCGGCGTCGAGGGCACCGCCGTCTGAGCAGGGACCGACCGCCCCGGCATTCCTGCAGGCCTAAGAACAAGACAACGAGTTAAAACAGTACAGTCTAAGCCAGAAATGTTCTGAGAACAGTTCGTGCAGACCAGAAAAGGTTCTCAGAACGTTCTTTGGTGGGCCTATCGGCGAGCCAGGACGCTTCGCCACTGCTTGAGCCGTCGGCTAGAAGCGAAACACGGCATAAACATAAACGCTCGGCGCTCCGCGCGGACTTCTCGGATCTGTGCCGCGCTGGACCCCACCATCCCCGGCGCGCGGAGCGCGCCAGGAGCGGCGCCGGAGGCGCCGCCTGGGGGGGGGGGGGCGCCCGAATTATCCGGGGTAACTCGGGTCCGGGGTAACGCGGGTTCGGATTCCCGAAAAACGAACCCGAGTTAGCCCTGACCCGAGTTACCCCTGATGATTCGGGGCTCTGGACGCCCGAGTTATCCGGGGTAACTCGGGTCCGGGGTAACGCGGGTTCGGAATCCCGAAAAAGGAACCCGAGTTAGCCCTGACCCGAGTTACCCCTGATGATTCGGGGCTCTGAGGGGGGGCCCAGGCGCCGATCCAAGAACTCCGCGCGGAGCGCCAAAAGTTTTGGCTTCTGGCCTGCGCTCTCTTCTCCGAGGGGCCTCGGAGGAGGAGGGGGAGGAGGAGGAGGAGGAGGAGGAAGAGGAGGAGGAGGAGGAGGAGGAGGAGGAGGAGGAGGAGGCCGGCGTCGAGGGCCTCGCCGAGGCCGCCGTCGTCTTCGGCCCCGCCGCCGTCGTCGGCGCCGTCCTCCCAGGCCGCCAGGGGGCTGCCGCGCAGGTGCCTGGGCGGCGGCCGCTCGCCGACGGGGGACACGAAGTCCTCCGGCGCCTCTGGGCGGCGGGGCGGGGGGGGGGAGGGTGGCAGGTGGGCGGCGGGTGCGGCATCCCCACCTTGAGCGAAGGATTGCAAAAAGCGAAGGATTGCAAAAACACCCTCACTTGAACGAAGGATTGCAAAAAAACCCTCACTTGAACGAAGGATTGCAACAAAAACCCTTCGTTCTGGCAACCCTCCGGGCGCAGGCGGTCTGGATCGAGGAAGAAAAAAACGCATGAGCACAAACTTTGGGCGCTCCGCGCGGATCTCTTAGATCCGCGCCGGGGCCCCCCGGCGGCGCCTTCGGCGCCGCCCCTGGCGCGCTCCGCGCGCCAGGGAGGGGGGTCCAGCGCGAACCCAAGAAATCCGCGCGGAGCGCCAAAGTTTGTGCTTATGTGTTTTCTTCTTCTAGTCGAACCGTTTCTCTTCCAACCCCTCCCTCTTCCCCTTCGGGGAGGGGTTTTACCCTCCCACTACCCCCTCCCCTGGACCTGGGGGGGGGTGTTTGCGGTTCGCGAGGCGTTGGAACGATCACGATGGTCCCCTGGACTTGAAGAGGCATTGGAGCGTCAAGAACTATTGGTTTACCCCAGATTTCGTTTTCTCGTCGAATCCATGGAAAACTGTGTAGAATGTTACCACATCGATTCTGAGCATTCTGCTTATTGTTGTAGATTCGGCGAGAAAGCATTCTCGGGACAAATCAATTCCGCAGTCGATCTCCTACTCAAAAGAAGGAGGGCGACAGCACAACCACGACCAGCAGCGCGAAGAGCCAGGGGGGGTCCTCCCGGTGGTGTGGTCCCCCCTCCCTGCTCGAGGCACCCCCGATCCACAGCCTTGGGGAGGCGTCGTGGACTTCCTCGCGCTGGAGGTGGCCCCCCTGGTGATGTCGCCTCTCCTTCCTCAGAAAGCAAAAACGGCGAGAAGGAGGAGAACGAGGATGATGAGGCCCTTCTCCTCTTCCTCTCCTTCCTCTCCTCCTCCTACCTCCTCCCTCCTCCCTCCTCCCTCCTTCTCCTGACCCTTCCTCCTCCTCCTCCTCCTCCTCCTCCTCCTCCTCCTCTCCCCTCCCCCTCCTCCTCCTCCTCCTCCTCCTCCTCCTCCTCCTCCTCCTCCTCCTCCTCCCCTCTCCTTCCTCCTCCTCCTCCTCCTCCTCCTCCTCCTCCTCCTCCTCCTCCTCCTCCTCCTCTCTCCTCCCTCCTCCTCCTCCTCCTCCTCTCCTCCTCCTCCTCCTCCTCCTCCTCCTCCTCATCCTCTCCCTATTCCTCATCCTTCTCTTCCTCCTCCTTCTCCCCCTTCCTCCTCCTTCTCTTCCTCGTCCTCCTCCGCTGCAGATCGGAGTGTCACCTCCGCCTCCTCCTGCTCCTCCTGCTCCTCCTCCGCCTACTCTCTGCCTCATCGCTGCCTCCTCAGTCGAGGCGCAGCTGCCGGAACGCATCCAAATGCCGGAGAACCGCCAGAGACACGCGAAAACCTCGAACATCGACCAGATCGACCCGACACCTGCCTTGTAATTGCGGTTCTCCAGGTCCGGCTCTGGGCGGTAGCGGCCGGAGACGTCGAAGTCCTCCCGGGGGTCGAGCCGGACGCAAAGGGGGCGCCCCAGCGGGGGCGGCACGGCCTGGGCAAACGCCCAGTCGACTCGCTCAGGTCAGAGGAGGGAGGATCCTCCTCCTCCAGTCTCCTCCTCCTCCTCCCTCCTCCCTTCTCCCTTCCCCTCCTCCTCGTCCTTCTCCTCCTCCTCGTCCTCCATCGTCACCCTCTGATGCCATTGTCGTCACCATCCTCCTCTTCAACCACCGCCTGCTCATCTCTCCTCACACCCTTCCGCCACTGTCGAGTATCGTAGCCCTCCTCTTCCACCAGAACCTTCGCCTCATTCATCCTCCCTCCTGCCACTCCTTGCTCCCTTCTGCCCCAGCCTCTCCTCCTCCTACTCCTCCTCCTCCTCCTCTTCCTCCTCCTGCTCCTCCTCCTCCCCGTCTCTTCCCATACGTACGGAGATCACCCTTTCCGATTGTGCATAAAAGGGTGGGTCTTGCTGGGAAATACTGGACCACTACCTATACGGCCACCCTGCGGGTCATAAGGAGGTTGGGGGGGAGGGGGCCAGCAATGGGCAACAGTGGTGATTGTTGTTCTGACGATGCCAGTGGAGATCGTTGCGTTGCCGCTCGCTCCGACGGGACACCGATGGGACACCGACGGGACACAATCGATCTCACTGTCGATCTCACTATCGATCCACTATCGATCCCACTATCGATCTCGCTATCGATCTCACTATCGATCGCGCTTTCGATCTCACTATTCATCTCACTATCTATTACACTATCGATCTCGCTATCGATCCCACTCGATCGATCTCACTATCGATCTCACTATCGATATCACGATCGATGTCATTATAGATCTTACTATCGATCTCTCACTCTAGATCTCACTATCGATCTCACTATCGGTCTCATTATCGATCTCACGGGACAACGACGGGACACTGGCGGGACACCAGCGGGACATCAGCGGGACACCGGCGGGAGACCGCGCGCCACCGGTTGCCGGGCGGAGAACCTGTTGGTCCGGCCGCGGCCAGCCACGACGGGACACAGGCGGGACACCAGCGGCACACCAGCGGGACACCGGCGGGACACCGCGCGCCACCGGTTGTCGGGCGGAGAACCTTTTGGTCCAGCCGCGGCCCAGCCACAGGAGAATTTCCTCTCCCCCCGCCCACGCAGCTTCGCCTCGCCCGCACGCACGGCACGAACACGAAACCGAAATCGATTTCCCGGTAGGGGGGCTCTCCGTTCCACTTCGATCCCACCCCCCAACCTCCGATGACACGGGTCAGCGGACAGAAACTCATCAGCGCAATGAGAAGGAATGGGTGGGAGGGGTGTATCAGAAAAGGCGCAAGCGCACCTGACACGCGTCAGCGGACAGACGCAAATCAGTGCAATGAGAAGGAATGGGTGGGAGGGGTGTGTCAGAAAAGGCGCGAGCGCACCTAGCAGGCGGCGGGATAAACCCCGCAGGCCCCAGCCAGTCAGGGGGAACGCTCAGTGATCCTCCTCCTTCTCCTCCTCCTCCTCCTGCTCCTCCTCTTCCTCCTCCTCCTCCCTGCCCCTGCTTCTCGTCCTCCCAACTCTTGTCTTTGTTCATAAATGTCTCTCTGCTGCACACCGAGGCGGGTCGAAAGGGCGGGCCGGACGTTTCGCCTTACAGTGAAAACGTATATTAAGGACGGGCGGTAAGGACGCAAGACCCTTGGAGGCCGAAATCGGGATTTGTTGGGCGGCGGGCGACCAAAACCCCAATGGAAACGGCAAAGGACGGGCCGCAGAAGCAAGGACACAGGGGTACCCTAGATGAAGGCGCGCATCCTTACTATGCGCGTTGACTGTAGACTTCCTGACCATTGATGATCCTGGAGCCATGAAATCTGCAACAGTGTCACGAATGGGAGAGCGGGCCGTTTCCAAAAGAGGCTCTCGCCTGAGCGCCGCGCACATCCGCTCTACAAATGTGCAAGGGCTTCGCTGATGGATGGCAGGTCGTTTGCAAAATGTTGCTCCCGCCTTAGCGCCGCGCATGTCCCTTTGAAAATGGCACCGGTTTCGTAGATGGAGGGCAGGTCGTTTTCAAAACGTAGCTCTCGCCTCAGCGCCGCGCACATTCGAAGAGTTCATTATAGTTCGAAGAATCCTCACTGTTCACGTCCCATAAATAGTGTGTTGGCAGGATGTCCGTCTGTCAGGGCGCAGCAATTACGTTGACTCGTGGTGTTGAAGTCCCAGGAACGGCATTCTGGCACGATTCAGGATCGTCAAGATGCAACAGTAACAGTGCTCCGAATGGTCCCTGGAATCGCGGCGCTGAAGTCCCTGGGATGGTTTTCTGACACAGTTCAGGATGTTCAAACGGTTGTTTTCAAACAGGGCACTTCCTTCAGTGAACATGAACCTTTGTTGGGGCCTATGAGGAGGGAACTTGGAGGGAGGGCGTATTGCAAAATCGTTGATGAATCTTGGAGTTACGCTGGTCCTCAACCTCCTCCTCCTCTTCGTCGTCCTCCTCATTTTCATCATCCCCCCTCTCCCTCGCCCGGAAAGGGGGCGGGGAGGACGAGCCGCCGGATTTCAGAAATGTGGCAAATCCCCTACGTTTTTGGATCCTGACCCTGCCGATCTGCGTGAGCGGTGCCGCCGAATTTTAGAAATGTGGCAAATCTTGTATGTTTTTGGACCCTGACCCTGCCGATCTGCGTGAGGGGTGCCACCGAATTTCAGAGATGTGGCAAATCCCTTGAGTTTTTGGACCCGAGAGGACGACGACGAGGAGCAAGCGATGCGGGATGAATCCGCCGACCCCATCGGCATGTGTGAGACGCTTCTCCGCTTGGGTCGGCATCGTCGCCGCTCTCTCCGTTTCCCTGCGCCCTCCTCAAGCGACCCAGCCAAACGGAAACCAAGCAGCGTCGAAATCGATTCGAAGGGAAGCCCTTCCCTCTGAGCCCTTCCCTGCCTGGGCGGGTTCAGGGAGTAGAGGCCTCCTGGATGGGGTCGGAGTAGATGGGGTCGGAGGATCGCGCCGCATCACCGATACATCGGCGATGCATCGTCGATGCATCGGCGATGCACCGGCGATGCACCGGCGATGCATCGTCGACGTCGGCGATGCATCGGCGACGACGTGACGCAAATCGGGCTGCACATCGAGCCGCATCGGCGATGCATCGGCGATGCGGCGCGATCCTCCGACCCCATCGACTCCGACCCCACCTAGGAGGCCTAGAGGGAGGGGGGTCCCAAGGAGGGTCCCCGGGGGGTTGTGACACCCCACAGGGGCCACGGGGGCCCCCCCCGTGGAGGAGGGCAGGGGGGCGGTCTCCTCCTCCTCCTCCTCCTCCCCCTCCTCCCTCTCCTCATCCTCCTCCTCCTCCTCCTCCTCCTCCTCCTCCTCCTCCTCCTCCTCTCACCTCCTCCCTCCCCGGCCCGTGCGCAAGGAAGCTCAAGACCGGGAAGGGGTCCTGGGGGAGGACCAGGGAAGCGTCCCGGGGGGGGGGATCCTGGAGCATGCGGTCATGATTCCAACCGGCTGGGACGAATCCCAAACAGCTGGTACATGTTCCAACCAGCTCGACAAGACAAACGAATACTCGCTTCAACCGGCCAGATTACGTCACTGTGCGATGTGAATTGTGAGGCGATGTTGAGACATCCCAATATCAAACAATCTGCTTTTGTCTGCACACTTAGTCCAAAAACAAACAAGATTGCCTCGGTTGGAACTTGTACCAGGTTCGTGCAGGGATATTACTGTAAGGACTCAAGGGCTTAAGTGTTTAAGGGCTTCAGGGCTAAAGTGTGTAAGGGTTTGAGGGTTTCAGTGTTTGATGGTTGAGGGCATTCAGGGCTCAAGGGCTTTAGGGTTCATTTTACATTTAAATGTCCAAAGGCTAAAAAGTGTAGGGACTCATAGGCTGAAGGGTTTGAAGGATTTTGACGGGTTCAGGGTTGAGGTGCTGAAGGGCTAAAGGCCCAAAGGGCTCAACAGTTTTGGG